GCTGCTGCTGCTGCTGCTGCGGGGCTTGCTGTTGATGCTGCTGGGACTGGGGAGCCAGACCGATCTGCGGGGAGAAATTACCCCCGAAGACCGGGTTGACGTGGTGGGGGAAGTTCTGGAAAAGCATCGTCCCGTTCACCGAGGGTATTCCCTGGAAAAAGCTATCGTCCACGGCGTTTGTGGATCCCGTGGACCAAGTGCTCCCAAACGAGGAGGAAGGGGAGGAAAGGGGGCCGCCGGTCTCCTGCGGCTGGTGGTGGAAGCTCAACCCGGGCAGGATCGGCGACTCCATCGGCACTTTGTCCTTGCTGCTGCTGTTCAGCGCTGAAGCCGCTTGGTTGCTCCCGGTCGACGGGCTCTCCGACTCCGATGAAGAAGAAGTGGGCTCCGATGACGGGGTCGGGGTGGAGGGAGGAGGGTCTACTTGCGTCGGATCTTGCTGATGGTGAGGCTGGGCTTTGTTTTTGTCCATCAGTAAATCATCCTGCATGGTTTGCTGAGCTGCAACGAGGGGAAACAGAGACGAGGAGTTATTATTATGGTTGTAATTCAGCAGATCGTACACCGGGCTCGCCGGGCTGCTGTAGTAGGATCTGATGAACTGGGACAACTCCGACAAGGATATGATGTTAGAGGGACCAGGCAACTGCAAAGCGAATGCGTGATCACCCATTTAGCCGAAAAGAAGAAGAAGAGGAAAAAGACACTTCCCAAGACTACACCAGAGTGATTCATAAATCCCACAAATTATACCCGGAGCGTATGGCTGCTGCAGATATTCACCAGATTTCGCCACGTCTCGTTTTTTCCTTCCACGCAGGAACTCCGGAGCTGCAATGTGAAACTGATTCAGTGTGTGTGTGTTTTTTTTTTTTTTTTTTGCCCAAGGACCTCCCCTATATTCATTTACATACGTCAGTAAATACAGCTGTCCTTCAGCAAGGTTAAAAGACAGTTCTACCTTGACCCAGCCACTTCCACACACAATCACGAATACGAATACTAAAAAAGAAAAAGCTTCACACACACTTCGCCCCCGTTTTTTATGCAGCAGAAAGTGACGCACCTGAACCACTTTATTGTACCGCAAAGAAATCCCGTGAACCCGAACCTTCTCCTGACAATGAAACATGTCTCAGTCAGGTTTTAGCACGAAGATCATTTAATAAATAAGAATAAACTGCCAAATGAGCATTCAGTACATGATTCCACACAGGAATGATGAGGTTTTATTATAGCGCAAGAAACGGGACTCTGCCCGAGGTCCGCATTGACACAGCCACTGGTTGACACTGACATAAATACAACATGTACCAATGCAACTTGCAGTTAAATGCAACAATATAGCAACTTAAAGCCAATGCTGGAGCCTCACTGAGAGCTCTGCTCGCTGCCCTCTGTTGAAACTTAGAAAACCCTTTGCATGCAAAATGATCCTTTTTACTTTGCATTTCAGAGACAACGCCTTGCAAAAGCCCAATTAACAAGAACAGGCTCGGATATGATCGTGATGGCAGATTTTTGCATTCAGAAAGCCATAAAGTTGCCACGTTATTCAACCCAGCAGCGAGCAGGGCACTTTAAAATGTAAATACACCACTTGATTATTGCAAGGCTGAGCAATTAGGTATGTTCTGTCAGCTGGAGCACATACAAGGAAAACACACACACACACATACACCATGGCACAGTGTCAAATCAATCCAAGGTTAAATATTCTGCTGTATGATAACACTGACTGATCAGCCTCTGGACTGTCGGAACCTGGCTGCAGGAGAGCTAACACGCAGCCTAACCCTGAGGCCTTCCAATAACATTAATGCAATAGTCTGCTACACTTTTAAAATAATAACCCTCCAGATGACATGCCGGATCATTCCAGCAGCATGATGGCAGTGGTACAAGTTGGACTTTTTCAAAAGGTAATCGCAAATAGCCTGCATTGCACACACCCCACCAGTTAATCCGTGTTTTCTCCTCCAAGAGCTGCGCTTCCAAGGTCATCAAAGCAGCACAATCAGCAGCCCATAGTGGCTCACCTCACCGGCCCTGTACCACGGACCCTGCCACAAACCCCCCCGGCCACTCACATGCCCATACATCGCGCCGATCGAGGCATCCGACACATATCATGAAGCTGTCTTGCCTTGAAATCCCCCTTTAATCCATATGTGTCCCTCCACACAAACGACAGAGCAGCATGCACACGCACAGAGTCGCGTCTCTCTCTGACGGGACGTTTGAATTACCTTTATCGTTCACCTTTTTGGGGACTCTGTGAATAAAGAGATTTCTGTATGCCTCGTCTGGGTTTAGATATGACAAACGAGCTACCCTTGTGCCGAGGTAGTCAGCAGTTGCCTCAACAGCTGATTGACTGCGGCGCATGGATGATGCCGAGGAGGCTGCAGGGAGTTGTAGTTTCTCACTATTGCAGTGGCTGGTCAACAAATAGGCTATGTTCTTTATTGACTGCTGCGGTCTAAGAAACAATAATGATCCTCAAAGCTGACCTGTAGGTGAGGCGGGGT